TCTACCACCGCCGCACCTCGTTGCCCCCCACCGCCGCCGCCGCCGCAGCCGCCCAAACCGATGGCGCGGCCCCGATGCCTCCCCCTCCCCCACTACCCCCTGCGTCTACGATATCCACCGCTTCTCTCGGTCACGCCCTCCCGCAGCCACGCTCCGAAGGCGCTTCCTCCTATGCCAATACCGGCAGCGGCAATGTCGGCGGCGGCGGCACCAGCGCCAGCCTCACCCACTCGTCGTTCCTAGACACTGCACTCAACCCGCTCCGTCCCCTGCCCCAGCAGCAGCAGTCGCCGCCCTCCCAGAGCAATCATGGCCACCAGCATCACCACCATCAGCAGCAGCAGCAGCACTATGCCCAGCACACGCGCATCCCAACCTCACCCTCGTCGCTGGCCAACTATCCAACCGACTCGGCCCCGCCTCCGACACAGCACGATGGGAGCAGCCCAAGCACCGCTGGAAACGCCGCCGGCAGTGCTGGAGCGGGCCCATCGGCATCTGCATCGACATCGGCGTCGGCGTCGGCGTCGGCCGTGTGAGCTCCTCCTTCCGCCCTCCAACTCTCCCTCTATCGACGCTCGCGAATGGCCCTCTTGTCCCTTCGAGGTGCTGACATCCCAGATCCTATCTCGCCTGTCCCGCCCGGCTTTCTACATCTCCCCTTCCGACTCGCTCCAGCGCCGGAAAAGTCAGCTGCCTCGCATGTCGCGCGGCAAAGGTGAGCGCCAGCTCCTCTGCTTGCAGCCTTGGCAACGCTCGCCGTACGGCCGTCGACGACTGACGCTGGTGCTGTGCTGCCCTGCGCCTTCCTCTCTTCATGGGCCTTGCTGCCAACGAAACAACCAGCGCAAGTGCCATACCGCCGGCATAGACACCGTCTGCAAGCGTTGCCATCTCCACCGCATCCCCTGCGAGTACAAGCAGCACCGCCGAGGTAGGACCAAGCGACCCCGCCCGCCCTCGGACGCCGCAGCCGGTACCGCTCAGGAGCAGCAGCGGCCTGGACATGCGGGACCTTCGTCTTCGAGGTACGTCGGCAGCGAGGCGGCGCCGAGTTGAGGCAGGACTCCCATTCTCTGACGCTCCTCCTCTCTGCTTCTGTCCGCTGCCCTTTTCTCCTTCTGCAGTCGCCGCAGCAACGCAAACGAGAGCGCCAGCACCTCCTCGGCTGCCCGGGACATCCGCTTCTCGCACCTCGTCTCTGGCGAGGGCGACTCCTCGCGTGGGTCTCGCCCCCTTCGCCCGCCTGGCCATCATTTCGCGCCTGTCCTGGACTTTTTTCACTGACTTAGGATCGCACCGCTCTCTCGCTCCACAGCCTACATGTCCAACCCGCGCTCCAGCCATGCGCTTTCGCGCCAGCCCAACACCCCGTTGCCGCGCATCGAGCAGGCCATCTCGGGCAAGTGGGACGCAGAGGCACTCGATCCCATCAGCGCCGGCATCCTCTCCGAAGCCGACGCCTACGAGCTGTTCGACCAGTTGAGTGCCAGCGGCGCGCCGCGTTCTGTTTGGCGGGAGGGTGGAGAGTGTGTGGCTGACCTTGACTGCACCCTGCCCTTCACCCCATGCTCTGCGCCGCACCGCCTCTTGCAGCTACTTTCGCTGCCTCAATGTCACGCTTGCGCTCCTCGACCCGGCGCTTCACACGGCCGACCACTGCCGCACTACGTCGCCGCTGCTCTTCACCGGCGTCCTCGCCGTGACGGCCAAGATTGCACGGCCGGCGGCCTATGATCCGTGCCTCGCCCTGGCCAACCGCCTCCTCGGCCGCGCCTTTGAGCACGGCGAGTGCAGCGTCGAGTTCATCCAGGTCATCCACCTGCTCGCGCACTGGAGGAAGGGCAACGACTCGTCGAGCTTCCGCCGCATCGGCTTCGCCACGCGCATGGCCCAGGAGCTCAGGCTCTTTGTCCCTGGACCGCGGCCGCTCCCCTCCAACGAGCGCGCCGCCAGGGAGATTCTGGTGAGTCGGCAGCGGTCGGCCGGTCTGCGCGCCTTGCCACGTCGCTGACGGGAGCGTGTCTACGTCGTTGCTGCACTCGCCCGTCGCGATCCTTTGCCGCCGCCGCACCAGAACAAGGAGAGGACGTGGCTCAGTGAGTGGCCCTGCCGCGTTCTCGCGCGGCCTGTGACGTGTGGGCTGTGGCGCCGCAGCAACGACGACCGGTCGACTGACCGAGAGACTCGCTTTCCCTCTGCTGCTGGCCATACCCCTGCGGCGATTTCGCTGTCTCGCCACCCACAGCCATGATCAGTGAGTCGCTCGCCCCCCCTGCTGCCGACGGCAGAGGCTCGCCTGTTCCGTTTGCTGACCGTCTCGTCGGCGTCTGACACGAAACTCGCTCATCCTCGGCTTGCTCTCGCACGCAGTCGCCGACTACAAGTGAGTGCTCCTCTCTGCGCGTCGTGGGCCCAGCAGCTGCGCAGCTTGCGCCCCGATTGACGATGCTGACGTCGGAGTTGTTGTCCTCTCCCTCCCTTTCCCTGTCTCCCCTGCCTCTCCAACTCAACCCAGCCTCGCCATCCACCACTCGCTGCCAAAGATCATTAGCGAGGACGACATCGGCGACCCCGAGGCGTGGGCGTCGGACCACCCGCAGTACCCGTGCCGGGGCGAAGAGACGATCGCGCCGATGATTCAGTTTATCCGCATGGCCTCGCACTTTTTCGACACCATGGCCGGCCTCAACGGCGACTCGTCCAACCTGCGCACCCTCGATCACATCGAGACGCAGTGGCGCCACTGGCGCAAGCGGTGGATCGAGGACGAGCGTGAGTGCGGCTGTCCGCGTGTTTCCGCGGCCGACGTCCGTTTTCCGTCGCTGACTTTCGCGTCGCTGCCCTGCCTTGCTCCTCCGCTCTGCGCTACCGACCGCCCGACGGCCGCAGAGGAGGAGTTCACGCCGCTACACTTTGCGACGCTCAGGATGTCCGACGCCCTCTTCCGCTTCCACGCCCTCGAGTACCGCCTGCTTTTCAACGCGCGGTACCGCGCAAAGGGCCAGACGCTCGACACGAGCCAGCCGACGCAGCTGTCGTACGACTTTGGCCGCTGCATCGACGCCGGCATGATGATCGCCGACGGCTTTCTGAACGACGTGGCGCGGCCGGGTTTCCTGCCGTACTGCTTCCACCTGGCCTGGGTGGCTATGATCATCTCGTCGATCTGGCTGATCAAGGTGGGTGCCGCGCGGCCGGGCGAGGTGCCGCGTTGACTGCGCACGGTGCCCCCGCTGACTGTCTTGCCTCTGCCTCTTTCTCCATGCTGACGTCCGCGCCACGCCATCCCCCGCTCGTCCACACCCGACTGCAGAACATCGACGCCATCAACCCCAACGACCGCGCCTGGGTGATCCGCAAGCTGTCCGAGGTGCGCGCCGCGACCGACGAGGCGTCGCGCAGCTCGGACGACATGGCGGGCTACACGACGCGGCTGCTGCAGCACATGCTCGACGGCCTGTGCCCCGAGTGGCACCTCAACTGCCTCGCCGAGACGGCGGCCCAGTCGTCGGCCCAGTCGTCGTCGACGGCCGAATCGTCGTCGGGCGGATCGAGCCAGCTGATCAGCACGCCCAAGCCCGACCCGGCGAGCATCGCCAGCACCCACGAGATTATCCAGGGCCACCTGTGGGGCGAGATGATGCACAGCGTGAGTGTGGCTTGCGTGGATCGAGGGATGAGCAAAGGGCCAGTCGCTGACGTCGGTGTTCCAGCTTTGCCCCGTATCGCGTTCTCTCGAATCCCCGGGCCTCTGCAGTCCGCCTTTGCCCAGCCCACCTGCGACCAGCCGATGCCGCCGGCCATGCTGGGCAACCATCCCGGTGCCGTCAACATGCACGGCGGCGACGGCGGTGTCAATGGGCACAACGAGGCGATGCCACTGGTTGAGATGCAGAGCGCCATCGTCCCGCACTCGCAGGCGCAGCACCACGAATCGATACCTCCACCGCCGCAGCAGCAGCAGCACCAGCAGCAGCAGCAGGCGCCAGCACCGTATTTTGCCGCCGCTGGTCCGCCGCAGCCCAACCTGTTTCCGGCCGACGACGACGAATTCTGGTGAGTAGATCGCTGCGTCTTGCCTGTCGTCATCTGCGCCGAGGTGGCATCGTGGAGTGGAACACTCTTGCTGACCTGGCCCGTCTCGAACTGGCCCCGACGACGCCCTCTTCGAACCGCAGGCGCATGCTGTTCCCCAAGACGGGCCCGCCGTGATACCCGCGCCAGGCAGACGGGCCCTCTGTCTTTCATCCTCTCGCTCTCTTTTCGATGGCGTTCGCTGCGAACATGGGCTGGATCCAAACTCGACCGCCAGCCTTTCTCCGGTTCCCGCCTTTTCGGGAGGTAGCTAGCTCATTAGAGGCACCTTCGCTTCCCTCGGCTTTCTTTGATCTTCGCACGAACGAGTGCGACTCGATTCGACCCGACTCGGCGTCGACATGTACCACCACCACCGCGCCGCCAATACATCTGCCGGCCAGACCAGCTCTGATACCCCCCCTTCCATCCCAACCCATCCTGCGACAACCGCGTGTGGTTCGGTGCTTTGACGAATCATTGTCGCACGTTCTGATCCGACAACGCCGTGAAGGGTACGGCAATGCATCCGATTCGAGGGTGCAGAGGCGACGCACGTTTGGCAGCTCGACTGGATCAGTGAGGGTGGCGTTGAAGGACGGGCACTTCGACGGGAGCCCGATGGGGGCCTCACTGCGTGGGGTGAGGGAGGGAGCGGTGTCGAGGCGAAGCGGCGGGGTGAGACAGCCGATGTGCTGCGCTGCGCTGCGCTGCCGCCGTCACTTTGTTGGTGTTCTGGTCGGCTCTGTGTCGACTCGACTGGACCATGCCTCGATGGGGAGACGGGAGGTAGGAACGACGAGCGTCGACCTGTCCTCTGGTCTGATCTGGTCGGTGGCTGTCGTGTCGGGCCTGATCAGGTGTGAATGGATCCGAGAGACTGGGACCGGTCCGTGGAACCATTTCGGAGCGACGGTGCTGGGCGGCGAAGCGGGGTGCAAGGACCGATGCCATGCGACCGTCTGCCTGCCGGATCGCGTTCGGCGAGCGGGTACGGTACGGTGCGGTACGACAGAAGACGAGGTGCGCCTTCACTCGCGAGGTGGGCAATTGGCACGCGCCCCTGCCCGCCTCGCTTTTCAAACTCCTCCGGCCTCGTCGTCGTGCGTGGCCCTAGCTAGCCTAGCTGGCCCTGCTGGCCTGTCGGGTTCGGACACCTGCCTCGCTGAAAGCTAACGAGGCAGGGATGGACCCTAGCCTGGCACCTCTGTGCTGCATGCTTGGCGGTTCGGGTTGACCGAGCCGTTCCGTCGGCTCGTCCGGGCGTTGGCTTTTCGTGTGTCAGACATCGAACCCCCTCCTTCCCCCTGGACGGCCTGAACCTCTTCGTATCCTTCCTGCAAGCCATGGCCGACGACCGGACCGGGACCGCCACTCGACGACAACGACGCAACGGCCCGACCACGACGCCGATGCCGCGCCATCAACTCAGCCCTCGAGGCTGTAGCGGTACAGATGGACTTTGGCTGCGCTGATCGACGAGCCGACGACGGAGTGGCTGAGCTGGTGTGCTCACGTAGGTAGCAGCACGTCGACGATCTTCTATTCTTGGTCGGAGCGGAGCGGAGCGGGCGCGGTGCAGTGTGCAATCCCCTCCCGACGGTGGCTGTCGAGGAAGAGGGAGCGGCCTGACCAGACCAAGCGAGAGCAAGGCAAGGCTAGGGCGTGGTGCGGAGGTGTCCGAAACCAGCCGGCCAGCCAGTCGAGGGGCGACGAGCATCCGTCGGGAGCGCAAAACCGAGGCGTGACCGTCCAGCCAGGCACGGGGGCGTGACTAGGCAGAGAGGCAGGCTAGGGCAGGCCAGGCTGGCCCAGCCCAGCCTGGCAAGCGGAGTAACTGCAGGCGCGGGAGGCGGGTCGATCCTTGGCCTAAGTTAGCTGTGCCCGTCGTCGGCCGCGGGCGCGGGCGCCTGGGCCTGGCCTGGCCTGGCCTGACGGGATTCCGCTCGCTCGCTTGCCCTCTTTGACGGGGCGCAGGCGTGGTCCAGACCCTGCGGGGCATGCAGCCGCCGCCGCTGCTGCTCTTGCTCCCTGCCTGCTTCGTCTGGGCCTCGTTTGGGCGGAGCGGGAACGAGAGGAAAAAAATCGAGGCGCAGGCCACGCAGGCCAGGGTCCGCCCGCTCGCTCGCGTGGCCCGCCCGACGGACGCGCCCCTGCGCCCGAAGCCGGCCTCGGTCCTGCTGGTCCGCCTTGGCTGCCTCTCGACCACCACTGCCGCCGCCATTCTCTCTCCCTCCCTGTCTCTCTCTCTCGATCAATCCCTCCGCCTGCCTGCCCGAGATGTCACACATCCAGCTCCGTTGCCTCGAACCACCTACCTGCATCACGCACCGCCACCCCCTCGCCCTTCCCGTGTTTAGTCTCGCCCGACCTCGATGACAGGCCACCCTTCGTCCTCGTCCTAGGCTCCCATCGCCTCTCGACCCGCACAATGGCGCGCTACAGTACCTACCCGCCGAGCTCAGCCAGAGACGGCCACCCGACTCCGCCACACACAGGTCCGCTCCCCATATAAGCCTGCCCGGCCCCCTCGACCTCAGTACCGCTTCCTAGTCCCATCCCCTCGTCATCCACCCTCCTCCTCCTCACACCCGCTCTCCTCCGTCCTCTCGAGGGCCAACCCGTCCCTCGCCATGCGATCCCCGCTCACCTTCCTCGTGTCGGTCGTGCTCGCACTCGCACTCGTCGCTCAGGCCTCCGCACTCCCGCGCCTCCACGACGATGCAGCTCCCATCTACGCTCGCGCACCCGCACGCCTAGGCAGCAAGTGCACCTCGTCCGTGAGCATCTGCCGATGAGCCTCGATGCAGCGCTGGCTCCCTCCCCTTACCTTTGCCCGCCGGCTGGCTCGCTGACCCGTGTCTCTCACTCCCACCCCATATCCCCGCGCCCTCCCGTCTCCGCCTGCTGTCCTGCAGGACTCGTGCCAGGACGCGAGCCTCTACTGCAGCTACTCGCGATGCGACTACAAGCAAAAGATCGGCGCCACCTGCTACAAGGACATCGGCTGCAAGAGCAACAAGTGCTTCCAGTCGCACTGCGTCGCCACCGCACCCCGCCCAGCCGGGAGCTGGTGCAACGACAAGTCGCAGTGCACCTCGGCCTACTGCGCCGCAAACCAGTGCCGCGACAAGCAAGCCAACGGCGCGACCTGCACCAGCAACGACGTCTGCCAGAGCGCCACCTGCACCAACGGCCGCTGCGCCGCCCCCGGCGGAGGAGCAGGAGGAGGCAGCGCAGGCCCCAAGGCCAACGGCGCCGCTTGCACAAAGAGCACCGACTGCACGTCGGGCAACTGCGACCGCAGCAAGTGCGCTGCCAAGAAGCCCGACGGCTCGGCTTGCTACAAGGACGCTGGCTGCGTTTCGGGCATCTGCGACCCCGTCAAGAAGACCTGCGGCAAGCCCGCCCCGCCTCCCCTTGCAGCCAACGGCGCCGCCTGCACCCAGAGCACCCAGTGCGCCTCTGCCAACTGCGATCGTAGCAAGTGCGCCGCCAAGAAGCCGGACGGATCCGCATGCTACAAGGACGCCGGCTGCGTGAGCGGCAAGTGCGACCTGGTCAAGAAGACGTGCGGATCGACGGCCACGCCTCCTCTCGCCGCCAATGGAGCCTCCTGCACCAAGAGCACCGACTGCGCCTCTGCCAACTGCGACCGCAGCAAGTGCGCAGACAAGAAGGCCAACGGCGTCTCGTGCTACAAGGATGCCGGCTGCATCTCGGGCGTCTGCGACCTCGACAAGAAGGTGTGCGCCGCCACGCGCTCGCCTTCGACCACCGCCACCGCCACCACCACCACCGCCGCGCCCCAGGAGACGACGCCTACCACGCCCACCAACCCTCCTCCGGTGGTGCCGACGCCCGAGGGCACCAAGCTCGTCTCCAACGACTTTGAGAACGGCTCCCTCGGCAGCTTCCAGGCCACGGGCGACGTGAGCGTCGGGTCCGACCCGGCGCTTGCCCACAGCGGCGACGGCTACGTCAAGCTCGGCGCCACGCCCGGCAACCCGGCCACCATCAGCCAGGCGCTGCCCGCCGAGCCGGCCGTGACCCCCTCCCGCCGCCGCCGCAGCGGACCGCTCAGCAAGAGGCAGGACGCCTCGTCGCTGCTCTTCGTCAGCTACTGGTACAGCATCCAGACGTTCGCCACTGACGGCGGCAGCGGCGGCTCGGCCGCTACTTGCACCATCTCGACGATGCTCAACGGCCTCACGGTCTCGTCGACCACGGTGGGTCCGGACAGCCAAACGAAGCTGTACGTGCAGTCGGTCATTTCGGGCTCGGGCGCGTCGACGTCGTTTGCCATCTCGGTCGGCTGCTCGGCCGGCGCCAGCGCTTCGGTCCTCATCGACGACATGGCCGTCGTCCGCCGCTCCATTGCCCCCGAGGTCACCTCGCCCGCGCCCGTCACGCCCTCGTCGACGGCCAGCTCGAGCGCCGCCACCCCGACCACGTCCGACGCAGCCGCCACGACCACGACGGCCGCAGACCCGGCCACCTCGGATGCGGCGACCACCGCCACTGCCACTGCCACGACGACGACGACCACCGACGGCTCCGCGCCCACCTCCGCGCCTCCTCCCGCCACCGGCACGGACGGTATGTACATCCTCAAGGATGGCAGCTTCGAGAGCGCCGACTCGCCCTGGTCGTTCCGCAACACCGTCGCCCGCCTTGTCGACGCCACCCGCCTCGTCGATGCCAGCCAGGCCTACTCTGGCGATGCCGCAGCCAAGTTCGCCATCAGCGGCGGCCAGGCCAGCCAGATCTCGCAGACGCTGACCTGGGTCCCCTCGCCCGCCGCCGGCGCTGGCGGTATGGCCAAGCGCGATGCGACCACGTACGACTTCGCCTTCCGCTACCGCCTCGAGAAGCTCGACATCAAGCCCTACAATGCCCACCTCGACGAGTGGACGTGTAGGCTCGAGTTCTACGTGGGCACCACCTTCTTCCAGCGCATCACCTTTGACGGCTCCTACCAGGCCAAGGACAAGTTCGGCATCAATTACGGCTCCAACGGCGGCCAGGGCCTCATGGGCGAGTACAAGCGGTACGTCAAGTCGTCGATCAGCCTTCCCCCCGGCGGCGGCGCCGACAAGTACGTCGGCCTCTCCGCCAACTGCTCGCCCAACACCGGAGACATGGTCCTCTACGTCGACGCCGTCGAGTTCCTGCCCACCGGCCAGCCCAGCGCCGTGACGCCCAACCCGATCCAGTCGTGGCCCATTGGAGGCAGCCCCACTGCCACTACCACGTCGACTGCGACCACGGCCACCACCACGACCGCTGCCACCAGCGCTAGCACTACGGCCACGACCACCTCGGACGCCCCGACGACTGCGCCCACCCCGCCCGCCGCACCGACCAGCTTCGTGCTGCCCAACGGCGGCTTCGAGAGCGGCGCGACGGGCTGGACTGGCCGCGACTTCTCCATCTCGACCAACGCCCACACCGGCACCAACGCCATGGCGCTGCACGGCAGCTACGAGGTCGACGCGCTCATCTCGCAGCCCGTCACGCCCTCCACGGCTGCTGCCGGCCGCCGCCGTCGCCGAAGCGTGCGCTGGATGAGGCGCCAGGACACGAGCGCATCCGACTCCGCTGCCGAACCCGGCAGCGGCAGCGACACGGCCTCGACGACGTCGGCCACGTCGTACCGCGTCAGCCTGTGGTACCGCGTGCTCAGCATCACGGCCGCCCACAGCCCGCCGCAGGACAACGAGGCGTGCCAGATCATGTTCTCGAGCTCCAAGTCCAAGGACACCGCCGTGCCCATCGCCACGCTCAGCTCCGAGGCTGGCTACGGCACCACGCCCGCCGATGGCTGGCGCTTCGCCGTCAGCGACCCCTTCACCTTCCCGGCCTCGACGCCCGCCGTCACCCTCTTCAACAGCTGCGGCTACAAGATCGACAGCGTCGAGATCCTCATCGACGACATCGTCCTCACCAAGGACGGCGATGCGCTGCCGTCGGTCCCCGAGACGACGGCCACCGCCACGGCGACGACCACGGCCACCACCTCGACTGCCACGTCGACCGGCCCCACGAGCGTCCCCACGCCCCGCGCCCCCGAGTCGCCCGAGGGCCTGTCGGGCACGCCGCCGCCCATGTTCAGCAACAACATCGCCGCCGACCCGAGCTTCGAGCGCAGCGATGGCAGCTGGGACATCTCGTCGGGCGTCGTCATGACCTCGCTGGGCTTCTACTCCCAGGACGAGGACAAGCACCTCCTCATGGTCGAGACGCCCACCGACGGCCCGCACGCCAAGTTTGCCCGCCAGACGCTCAGGTACACGCCCGAACCGGGCGCCATCGCGCTCGAGGCCTCGGCGCAGATGTGGTACAACATCGACAGCTACTCGGCGCCCGACGGCGTCACCGACGGAGAGTGCAAGATCGAGCTCAACATTGGCTCCAAGAGCGTCTTCCGCATCTTCTACTGGTCCAAGCCCGACGTCGGCTTCTACAAGTGGGTCGGAGGCACCGTCCGCCTCGACGATCCCTCGCAGCCCGTCGAGGTTGTCGTCGTCCTCATGTGCGACGACCGCGTCAGCTCCGACGTCGTCGTCGACAGCCTCGAGGCGTCGCTCAAGTCCATCATGCCCGGCCCCTCGGACCCGACCACGCCCCGCGCCCCCGAGACCACCGTCGGCGGCTCCACCGACGTCCCCGACATCCAGGTCAACCTCCTCCAGGACGGCGGCTTCGAGGGCGACAACTCCAGGTGGGGCGCGTTTGTTGACCCGTCCAAGGCCGTCGTCTCGTCGGAAGGCACCCAGATCGAGGGCAGCCACCATGCCGAGATCATCGTCGCACCCGCCACCAACAGCTACCTCAACCAGATGTTCTGGTGGCGCGACCAGGACACCGACGCCATCGTCCCGGGCTTCGACAACACCGGCCTCACCTTCGGCACAGACGGACACCCCACCAACCTCGCAGGCTACGTCTTCCGCGGCTCGCTGCGATACCGCGTCGACAGCTTCGCATCGACGGACCCGAGCGCCAGCTGTTTCATCGAGCATCACGTTGTTGGTACTGTCCTGTTCAGGGAGAGGTTCTATTCCAGTCAAGGGCGCACGGAATGGAGGCAGGTGGGATCCACGAAACAGGGCGACGGACCTTGGCTGGGCGGCGTCAGCATCATCGAGGTCAAGTGCCAGCCTGGCACCCAGACGGTGGTTTGGTTCGACGACGTTCGCGTCGACATCAAGGCGCTGATCAAGGACCCGAGCGAGGTGCCGACGCCCACGGACCCGACGCCGACGACGCCGACGGACCCCTCGACGCCCTCGGCGGTGACGACGGCCACGGCGATGCCCGTGCCTGCCATCACCAACGACATCCTGGCCAACGGCGACTTCGAGGCCGATGTCAACACGCCACAGATGTGGTGGGATGGTCCCATGTCGATCGTGGCCGAGGAGCCCAACCACTCGGGCTCCAAGCACCTGTCGCTGCGCTCCGAGAGCGAGCGCGCGGGCGTCCAGAACACGCTGCGCTTCGACGCCGTGCCGGGCGTGACCCAGTACCGCGTCGAGGCCTCGGCTTGGATGCGCATCAAGTCGTTTGGCGGCACCCCGGAGCGCGAGGGCGAGGACTTCTGCCGCTTCTTTGGCTACATCCCCGACTCGGCCTTTTACGACATCCGCCTGACGCAGATGCCCGCTTCGGGCGCCGACGGCGTCGACGACTGGTTCCAGATCGGAGGCACGTCGTACGTCGACCGCACCGACCAGGTCGACGTCATCTTCAACGTCATCTGCTCCCCCGGCCTGACGGCCGAGGTGCTGCTCGACGACGTCAAGGCCCAGGTGACGCCCATCCTGCCGTCCAGCGAAGGCGGAGGCGGAGGCGGCGACCCGACGCCGACGCCGACGCCGACGCCGACGGCGCCGCAGCCGCAGCCGCTGACGGTCAAGGTGGCCATGGACGTGCCGACCGTCGACAGCCCGATGAACACCAACGGCGACTTTGAGGGCTCGGCCTGGTGGTACGGCGACGGCCTGTCGATTGTCGAAGCGGCGCCCAACCGCTCGGGCAGCAAGCACCTCTCGCTGCGCAACGCCGACGGCCAGTCGCCCTCGGTGGCCACGGCGTTCCAATACCCGGTCGTGGACGGCGTGTCGCACTACAAGACGCAGGCGTCGGCGTGGTACCGCATCCAGTCGTACGGCAGCGACAACGCCGACCGCTCCGGGGACTGGTGCGAGTTTGAGCTCTACAGCAACGGCATCCCACTCTACCACGTCCGATGGACGGGCGAGTCGATGCCCGACACCCCGGCCACGTCCGACTGGGTCCAGATCGGCGGACAGGTCGACTACGACATCAGCCTCACGTCGTTCGCCGGCGTCGGCCTCAACCTCTGGTGCGCCGCGGGTGTCACGGCCGAGGTGGCCGTCGACGACGTCGCCGTCCAGGCCGTGCCCTTCTAGTGCCGTCCCTCGTTCTCTAGTCTTTCCTCTCCTCTCCCCTCTTGCTCCGTCTCTCGCTCTCTCTGTGTTCTCTCTGCGGGGCGACCGCTCCGCCCCCTGAACTCGTCTCGCCTGGTCTCGCCCCGCCTCGTCTCGTATGTCACCGTCAACTCTCGTTTAGATCCCCCTCCCATCGCCCGTCGCAACCTCTGCTGTCGCCCGGCTGGAATGCAAAGTCGATCCTGGCTGATCCGCAGAGAATGAGCAACGCCTCCTTCTCTCTGGCTGTTCCCTGTCTGTCCCTCTTCCTCTTTCCCTCTCCCTGTACCCCCCCTCCTTTCCCCTCTCCCGGGGCAAAGGAACGGGCAGGGAGAGAAAGAGGAAGAGACGAGCGCAAGCCAGGTCGAAGGCCCGGCTGTATCCGGGCAGGCCAGGCCCGTCCTGCTTTGGAAAATCGTTCGAGGCGTCTTGTCCTGCCTTGCCGTGACTTGCCTGGTCCCGCCTTGCCTAGGTTGGTCTTGACGTGTCGAAGGGCGCGGGAGGGGCGGCAAGACCGGCCGATCTGAGCTAGCCGAGTTTTGTGCGCCGTGCTTGTTTGCGTCTGCGTGTGTGTATCGGCGGTGCAGACCGTCGGGTCATCTGCAAGGGCCCAGGGTCGATTGTTTGAGGCGTCGTGGTCCAGAAGACGCACCACGCGCGTCATTCTGGCCTCACCTTGCTTCGCTTCACCTCACCTCACCTCTTCTCATGCCCCTCCCACCCCTCATCCTCCTCCTCCTCCTCCTCATTCCTCTTCTGAACAACGCCCCCAAACCAATAAGCCTGGTAGGCCGCGACGGCCGAGACGAGCAGCTCGACGAGATGGCTGAGCATGAGCGGATCCCTCGTCTCCGCGTGGCCCGAGAGCGAGGCGAGGTGGTCGAACGCCTGCAGCGCGACGAGCGAGCCAAAGCTCAGCCACGCGCTCAGCCGGAACTCGCCCGCAAACGTGCCGTGCGCCCAGTTGAAGGCCAGCTGGCCCAGCTGCACGACGGTAAACAGCACCGAGGTGACGTCCAGCACCCCGGCGCGTATCGCGTCCGTCCGGCTCATTGAGGGTGCGCCGGGTGGTGGCATCTCTCGGCATCCCAGGCCGCGACGTAGCGTCACGTCGAGGCGGGACGAGAGGAGGAACACCGTGACCACGGTTATGGCCAGCTGCAGAGATACAGGATGGTCAGATAGAGCAGGTCGACGGTCGGGCATGGACTGGTCAGCATTCGCTCTGTACTCCCTCCTGGATGATCGAGCACGCAGCGCATCGACAGCACCCTGCTACAACGGAAGACATTCCGTCCGACAAGGCCGCGTGTGAAACTCACCGCTGCAAGCTTGCCGGTGCCGATCTCGGCCCGCTCGACGCGCAAGCTCTCCCTCTCGCGCCGGCTGCGAGGTCGCTGTTGAAGGCCCAGCCATTGGCGCCAGCCGCCGCGGCGTTTGCGTCGGCCGCTTCCGCCGGGTCCGCCCGAGACCGCAGACGGCCGTCGAAGCCGCAGCAGAGTCATGAGCATCCAGGGCACGTAGGCGTACCCGATCAGCCACCATGCTCCTCCAAAGATGGCGCTAACGGGGTCGAGGTCCGACCATGTGTTGGGGTCGGTAGCCTGCACGATGATCTGCAGGCCCACGGCAGCGACGGCGATCCAGTGCGCGTCGGTGTAGATGCCCGCCGTAGTTGTGCGCGTATACCAGAAGGCGAAGTTGACTGACGGATCCGGGATGAGGAAGGGGGACAGGCACAGGTCGCAGTCACGTTCAGCTCCGGCGCGCAAGCCACCAGCTTGCCGGACGAACTAGCTCCAACGACCGTGCGGCACTCACGCAAGAAGTGCACCGGGACGACGACGCCCATGGACAAGACGCCGGCGATGAGATTCCTCGTCTGCCGAGCGTCCGGATGGGGCGCATCGCCATTCGCATAGGCTGCGCGCCGAATGGAAGGGGGAGGGTCCAGCAGGGAGAGGGAAGACCAAGCGAAGGCGCAACGAGTCTGGCGGTGAGCTCCTATGACAGAGGCGCCGTCGTCCAAAGGGACAGCGCGCGACCCTGGAGCAGCGTGACCACTCACCAATCATGGACCAGTAGACGTCCTCTTGGTACGAGCCGTAGGCCACCAGCTGCTCATCGCCCTCTGCGTCGTACTCGAGCGGTTGCGTGTGGCGTTCCGGCTGCGCGTAGACGGCCTTGGCGAGGTCCTCGCCAAAGATGGCCTTGCGCAGCGAGTGGGCCGAAAAGTAGACGTTCCAGTCGAATTGAAAAAACTGGCCGGTCGGGTCGACGTCGAGCACGGGCACGCGGCACTGCTCGTGGTCGTCGTCGTATCGCTTCAAGGCAATCGGAGCGGGTGAGTCGGCGGCGGATGTGACGGCGCCCCCTCCCGCAAAGGCGGAAGCGGGCGCGCGGCTGGGCACGAGGCGGTGGTGGCGCGGCGCAGAGGCCATGGGATTGTGGGCGAGGAAAGGAGTGTAGAAGCGCTGGAGGGGGGCGGCGATGCCGTCGGCGGTCGTGTCGGTCGCGTCGGCCAGCTGGACCCACTGCTCGTACGAGTGAAAGTCGTAGGGCCTCCGGCAGTTCATAATGTCGAGCGCGCACCTGAACCTCAGCTCGCTCGCCGCCTCGAGGTGGTTCCTGTCAAAGACGAACTCGTTGAACACGGCGTCGTCCCTGACGAGCGCGATGCGGCTGCGGGTGGCGATGTGCGGGAGGAAGATGGTGCGGTTGAGGTCGGTGAACTCGGGCAGGCGTCCCGGCTGCTGCTGCCGACCTTGCGCCGTCGCCGCCGCCGCGTCGAGGGAGAAGTTGACGTTGCGGAGGAAGCTCAGGTTGTCGGGAGCGGCATCAAACATCATGTTTGACCTGTGGCTGGTGTAGGCGGCCGATGCGCCGAACGCGGAGGCGGCTGTGCTGTTGTCATCGCTCGGAGGCCCGACGCGAGACCACGGGGATTCGAGGAGGTTGAGGAGGCTGACGCTGACGCCGGTCCTGCTGAGGGCGTGGTCGATGGTGGACACATGGTCGTCGGTGAGGTTGAGGAGGTCCGGGGTGCGTGGGAGGAGGGGCGCTCCTGAATAGTAGACCGTTGACGCGTCCTTGAGGGCTGCGGCGGCGCGCGGCCGCCTGTCGACGATGGCAAAGGTGGCTCGTAGGGAAGAGGGGCCGAGGTGAGGGGTGTAGAGTGGTGCGATGGGTACGCGGAGGGGCAAGGTGTGGTGGCGCTTGCTGTCGCTTGCCGAGACGTAATGGAAGAGGACGTCCGAGTAGAGGATGGCCTCCTTTCTCGGCGCGGAGTTGGTGCGGGGCGGGAAGTATTCGACGACGCGCAGGGGCCGGCCGTCGATCGGGGAAGGGGGCAGGGGCAGGCCGCTATCGAGGTGGTGGGTGACGTCGAGCCATACGGTGGCGAGGACGTCGAAGCGGTCGTCTGGCCCAAAGAGCGGGCGGACGGCCGACGAGGCTGCAAACGAGTCTGCCTGGGACGGGTTGAGGGCGTGGAGACGGGTCGGGTTGAGGAAGCCCTTGAGGCCACCGTAGGCGACGAAGCTGAGGCCGGCGAGGATGACGCATCCGACGATGGCCAAGAAAGCGATGGTGACGCGCCCGCACGTCTTTGCGAGCGACGAGGCCTTGCGGGTGCCCGAGGAAGCCGAGGCCGACGAAGAGCGGCGTGGGTGCGACGAGGGGTGGAAAACGTGGTGTTGGTCCTCCTGGTCCACCATCTCGACGGGGGCGGTGCCAATGACTCGGCAAGGGCCAGGGGGAAAGGAGGAGATGGGGCTGGCGCCAAGCTTAGGGCGGCGAGGAGAGGGTCGAGGGCGGAGGTGGTGGTGGTGGTGGCGACAGTGCTGGTGGTGGTGGCGACAGTGCTGGTGGTGGTGGCGACAGTGCTGGTGGTGGTGGCGACAGTGCTGGTGGTGGTGGCGACAGTGCTGGTGGCGATGGTGATGAGCAGGCCGACGTGCGGACTTGGCATCGCCGGCCTGCCCGGGCATCGGCTCGAGGCCGACTTGCTTGCTTGTTGGGCTTGCACCCATGCACCTGGCTGCGCTGCTTGCGAGCATCAGCAGGGCGGTGCCCAACGACTGCCAGGCGCTGCCATGGTGGTCAGACGAGGCTCAGCTAGGCTTTCGCTGGCTCGTCTGCTCGGCCGTCCGCTCGCCAGCCCAGCACTCGGGCCGAAGCGGTTCGGCGGGACTTTGCTCGGACCAGGCCGTCGGCCCACCCGCTGCCTGGCTTGCTTGCTTCTTCTGCGCAGCGCAGCCAGCCCTGCCGCCTGTCGATCCTGCATGCAGAAGCACGCACGCGGCCGTCGGTTGGGCAGCCGTGCAGCTCTGCTGTCTCCCTGGCCCCACCAGGCCGGGCAGGGCCCGCCGGCACGGATCAAGCCGAAGCACGCTCAAACAGCCCAGACGACGCAAGGCACCGCCGCGACGCATCGTGGCCCGCTCCCTTCGGATGCGACCTGTCTCGGGACTGGCTACATCTGTACATGTTGGCGCCGTCGCAGCCCATCGTTTCCCTCGTCCTCTTTCTCTTTCCCCTCGCCGTCATCGTCGCCGTCGCCGCCCCGCCTGCCCTGCACGACACCCGCAAACCTCCAGGCCTGCAACGCCGCGACGCCGTAGACGAGCAGCTGGACTAGATCGCTCACCACGACGGCCTCCCTCTTGTCCGTCCAGCCAGAGACGAGGCTCAGCTGCTGGAACGCCACGCCTACGACCAAAGACCCAAAGTCGCTCCACGCCTTGAGTCGGAAGTCGCCCGCGTACCGCCCGCACGCCTGGTTGAAAACGAGCTGGCCCACCTGCGCCGTCAGGCTCCACGCCCACACCACGTTCCACAGCCCGTCCCGCAGCCGGTCGATGCCCGTCGATGGCGTCGACGACCGGTGCTCTGGGCATCCCATGCGCTCCCGAACCGTCACGTCCAGCTGAGGAGAGAGGATGCACAGCGTCATCAGGACCATCGCCAGCTGCGCTTGGGGGCAAGAGGAGTGTCAAGCCAGGCAAACCAGATCAGCCAGCGTCCGATGGCTTCCCGTAGTGGACGCGTCGCATCGACCGCTGCTCCGCCACGTCGCTCTCTCTATCCACGCCCGGACTCACCGCTGCCAAACGAACGTTCCCAATCTGGACCCTCTCAACGCGCAAGCTCTCCTTCTCGCGCCGGCTGAGCGGCCGCCGTTCGAGGCGCAGCCACCTTCTCCAGACGCTGCGGCGCCCACGTCGTCGATCCGGCTCCCAGTCGGGCAGGGACGATGCCGTCGGCCGCGACCCGCGCTTCCGCACCCGAAGAAGCGTCATGAGCAGCCACGGCACGTAGGCAAGCTCGGCCAGCGAGGACGCTGTACCAAAGAAGGCGGTGATGGGGTCCAGGTCTGACGACTCCTTCGTCGCCCGCAGCCCAAAGCGCAGTGCGAGCGAGGCGACGCCCACCCACTGTGCGTCCGTGTAGATGCCCGCCGTCGAAGTGCGCGTATACCAGTAGCCGATCTGGACTGAGGGCGCCAATCAGTGCTCATGAGAGCGGAGGATGGGACAAGCGGGATCAGCTGCAGCGCCGGCGACGCCATAATACCCGGCTCCGTCGGAACGACATCGCTGGGCCCGCTCGACACTCACGCAGGAAGTACGCCGGCAGCAGGACCACGGCGGCAAAGACTCCGTATACGACCGTCCTCGTTTGCCGCGCGTCCGGATGGGGAGCGTCGCCAGACATGTAGGCTGCAGAGGGGATAGGGAGCAGGCAGGGACGGGGGAACAGGCACAGAAGATAGGTAAGGACACCGTAGGATAAGGCCCAGTCTCAGGAGCATTGGTCAGCGACATCAAGCTGCGAGCGGTCACGACTGCCCGCACTGCAACTGCCTCGGGCGATGCCGACAGCACGGGCAAACACTCACCCATCCACCACCACATGCTATCGTCCTGGGGCGAAGCGTAGGCCACGAGCTGCTCGTCGCCCTCGTTTCCGTACTCGAGCACATGCTTGTCGCGGTGAGCCGTCAGCGTCCGGATCGCCTTGGCGTGCTCCTCGACGTAGACAGCCTTGCGCAGCGAGTGGGCGGAAAAGTAGACGTCCCAGTCGAACTGGAAGAAGCGGCCGGTCGCATCGACGTCGAGCGCGGGCACGCGGCACTGGTCGTCGTCGTCGTCGGAGCGCTTCAGGGTCAGCGGTGGCGGCGGCGGCGGCAGGGGGGGTGCGTCTGGCTCGGCAAAGGCGGAGGCGGGCGCGCGGCTGGGTAAGAGGCGGTGGTGGCGTGCGGCCGAGGCCATGGCGTTGTGGGCGAGGAAGGGGGCGTAGAAGTGCTGGTGTGTGGCGTCCGGGTCGCGGGTATCAATCAGGCGGGCCGAGTGCTCAAACGAGTGGAGCCCGTAAGGCCGCTCGCACCTGGCATCGGACCAGCTGTGGCAGTGGTTGGTGAAGTCCTGCATCGTGCGGAGGTGGACGCGCACAGCCATGGCCTGGCTGTAGACGTGGTCGTCCTTGACGAGGGCCACGCGGCTGCGCGTAGCAATGTGCGGGAGCAAGACGGTGCGCTCCTCGTCGGTGAACTCGGGCATGCGGCCGCGCATTGCCGGCCGGTCGAGGTTCTGCTTGGCGGCCGCGAGGGCCGGGTCGCGGAGAAAGTGAAGGTTGTCCGGCGCCGCGTCAAACATCATCGTGGTGCGATCCCGCGCGTCCGGGGCAGAGACAATGCTCGAGTTGTCCGGCGACGGGGTTGCAGGGCGGGCCCAGCGCGACTCGAGGAGGTTGACGAGGCTGACGCTGATGCCGGAGCGGCTGAGGGCGTGGTTGAGGGAGCGCACATAGAGCTGGTCGACGTTGAGCAGCTCCGGGATGCGCGGTAGCATGGGCGGAAAGGGCGTGTAGACAGTGTTGCCGCCGGCGTAGCGGAAGCCGTGGGCGCTGGCGTTGACGGGCGGCGGGTGCAGCGTGTCTTGGACGGTGAATGTGGCGCGCAGCGAGGCGGGACCGAGAGAGGCGGTGTAGAGGGGCGCGATGGGCACCGAGAGGGGCACCGTGGCGTGACGCTTGCTGTCGCGCGCCGAGACCTGGCGGAAGAGGATCTGGGAGAAGAGGACGGCCTCCTTCCTCGTGCGGCCCCTGTTCTTGTGCCGGAAGGGGCCGGATACGGGATACTCGACCACGCGCAGGGGTGTCCCGTCGATGGGGGAACGCGGCAGGGATCGGCCTGCGTCGAGGTGGTCGGTGACGTCGAGCCAGACGGTGGCCAGGACGTCGAAGCGGTCATCGGGGCCAAACAGGGGACGTTCGGTCTGGGGACCGATGGCGTCTGGCTGCGAGATGGTGGTGAACGCGAGCCGCCTGGTGGGGTGCAAGAACCCTTGAAGGCCGACGTAGCTGACGTGAGCGAAGCCGACAAAGGCGGCGAATGCGAGCAGCGCCAGGATGACGAAGGTGATGCGCCAGCACGAGGGGCGGCGTCGAGGGCGGCGTGGGGTCGTCAAGGACAAAGGGTGAGCCGCGACGGCCTCTTTGACCTGCCCGTCCTTCCACTTTTCCTCCATGGTAGGCAGGCGGTCGAGCGAGGTCATGGGGATGGGGCGGGGATGGAAGACCAAATGAGACGAGACGAGACGAGACGAGACGAGACGAGAAGATGGTGGTTGAACGAAGACGACTGCGACAGCAGAACAGGGCCACATCGTTTGGCCAATGACCGGGGCAGACTGAGCCTCGTCTGGCGCAGGACCATCACACGGGTGAGATGGCGGCTGGCTGGCCACCGAGAAGAGCCAGGCACGCAGCCAGGGCTGGCAGAAGTTGGCGTGGCAGCTCGAAGCAAGCATCCAGCAGCAGCAGGAGATGGTGGGCCGTCGCAAATCTACGCGTGCTTGCTGCAGCGAGCGCCTGCAGGCTTCTTCTTCTTCTTCCAGCTCGCTTGCCTGCCTTGCCCGCCTGCCTCTTGCTGCAGGTTCGGCTTCGGGCCAAGGAGCGAGCAAGCGCCGACGACGCCGACTCAGGAACGCCACGCCACGCCACGCCACGCCACGCCACGACGCGCGGCCAATCCTGCCCCCTCGCTTAGCCGCCAATTCCATGCAGCGTGCTCGTCGCGCAGAAAGGCGGCCCTCTTGGCACGCGCAAAGGAGAAAAAGGAGACGGCCTCTCTCCTCCACGGCGATCAAGGTGCCGACGACGAGCCGACGACGGCCTGAGCGATGACTGCCACGGTCCAGCTTGGCCAAGATGGCGCCAGGGGCAGACAGCGACGGCCAAAAGGTGGATTCGAGCGGATACTGCGGGTCGCGGCGGCAACGGCGGCACCCGGTCCGACGATCCGATCAGAAGCAAGTCGGTGATGGGCTGCAACGAGCGGCAGAGCACAGAAGTGTAATGCAAGAGCGACGGGCAAAGGACAGTAGGTAGTGTAGGTAGTGGTCGTGGCCGGCACAGCGGGCCACCGTGCAGGCAGATTGGAAAAGGGGAGGCAGCGAGCGACAGACATGTGCGTCTAGGCCACGAGGTTGTCCGGATGAGGTGGAGAGCGATGGGCCAACGTTTCTGGCCCCGTCGACGACGACGACGACGACGACGACACCGTCAACGCCACCGACCGCCCGCGGAAAACAGGGTCGACTTCTTGGACGACGACGGCGCCGACGCCACGATGCCAGAGCACTCCATCGACTCCTCCTCGAGCGACTTGAGCGCCACGGCCGCAGCGCCCGTCGATGCGCGATGTCGCCCTGTGCCGCCGCCGCCGCCACGCGCACCGGGCACGGGAGGCAGCGATTTGGCGGTGGGAGCCGGCCCAGCGGGCGGCGGTGTGCGCCCAAAGAAGCGCGACAGCCGCCGCGTGCGCATCAGCGCCGCCCGCTCGGCCTCCGTCATGCCCTCAAACGACGCCAGGCTGTCGCGCGGAGCGGTGAGGTCGACGCTGCTCGACGACATCGACATCCGCACGCCGGCACCGGGCGCGGCTGCCCCGCTCTCGTCGTCTTCCTCGTCGCCGCCGTCGCTGTCCGAGTCGAGGC